ATATCCACATGTCTTCCAATGAATTTTGATAAGCCAAATTAAATGGAACTTTTTATTCTGTCCCATTAACATATACGAGACGTAGATCAAATGTAAATCTCAATGAAAAATCCGTATGCTTACGTAGTGATAATCTATTTGGAAGAAATGTGCTTAATTAAGATCAAAAAGTGCTTTGCGGAGCATGTTTTCTGTGTTACAAAATGAAATTTATATCAGGAAAAAGAAGAAGAAGAAATAAAAGATGGTGATGTGCTTGTCATAGCATGTTCCACTTATTTCGGAATGATGAAACGAATACGAAGTGGCGGATATGAAAATGTTGAGTGACTGAGAGAACGAAATGTAAGTGGCAGCAACAGCAACAGCAACAGCAGTAGCACATCAATTTGGATTAACTACAGAGTTGCGTGGCAGTTGAGAGACGTAGTTTTGTTCCATTTTTGTTGTTTCTTATTTTGACAAGCTTTTTCCCATACAGAAGGAGAGACACAGAGAGAGAGAGACGACAGGGCTTTGACAAAAGCTTTTTATTTGCGCTTATTACTGTTTGCTTTCATAACTCTTTGTAAACTCTTCGTCATAAGTCGGCGGGTGTTTTTGTTTTCCATTTCGCCTCGGAACATCGACAAACAAGACATGGGAAATTCTGTATGTTTGGTGTATGTTTCCTTTGCGACGATTCCAGACGATTGAAATACGAACTGAACACAAAATGCATTTTATTATGTGCATGCGAAAGAACAGCATGTCTCCAATTACATTCCAAAGTGAAGTTAACTGGAACAATACTGAACAAAAAATGAGAATGACACATAATTTTTTTTCTGTTCAATAATACGAACACACGAACGAAAAAAATACGTCTCATTGATTTCGAGTTCATGTCACGCCTACGTGAAAGAAGAAACTTTTGTGTGTTCAAACAAACAGCAATGAGATAAGAATATGAAGCGCTCGGAAAACATCATTAGATTAAGTGGCATGCCGCTCGTTTTTTCTTCACCGTAATTAGCATTTTGACAACACGTACAATGGAATATTGCATTAGATTTTCACCTTCCCCTTACCTCAAATCAAGCAAAAGGAACATGCCATTGTTGTGTTTCGGCGGCTATTTGTCATATATCAGTCTAACCGCAACAACGCCATTTCGGTTTCGAAATTTGATCACTCAACTGCACAAATTAATTAGTTTCGGCTCTTTTAATTAGGATTGTTGCTCATTTGCATGCAGCGTCCAGTGAACCGCAATGGTGTAAATGATGTGCCCATTGTTTCATATTATCATTCCATCGAATATCTCTGGCCTGTTATTAGATTTGCTATTTGTGTGCATTGGACACGACAACCGATCTACACACACACACAATCGAACAGCTCGAGACCGTGTGGTTATAAATTGTACGGTTATCCTGTCCTGTCATTGTGATTACGTCATTTCAAAATTAATTCAAATTAACGGTGCTTTTGATTGGGAATGCAGAAACGTTCCCATCTGCTTACAAACACCACCATGAATCCGATAATGACAACTAAATTATGCTAGCTGTCAGTCGCCGACTTTTACCACCCGAACCATTCGAAAACGAATTAATCGCTCATTAATTTCCAATTTTGCGCGTTGCGACAAAAATAGAAATGATGTCCCCATCTGAATTATTTGCTCGTGCTACGGAATCGAAACACGTTTTACGGACAAATCCAATATACCTTTTCGCTTGGAAATGGTGCAATGTGCTTGGATTTCCGTTTTCACCTTTTTCTATCGCATTTTTCATTCTTTTCTTCTTTTTCCACCTTCCCACATTCGTGTACGTCTCCGAGAAAAGAAGCCTAGCCAATAAATGGCTTGTTCGGTTGTGGACATGCACAAAAACCGTTGCCGATGTTGTGGTATAGCCACAGCAGATGTAGATCAACACAGTCAACATTTCGATGATTGTGCCATTTCACTTGTTGCTTCCCTGTCATACATACACATTGAAACGCAAGCACACGGCATTTTTTTCTGCCCGCTTACCATTCGACATACAGGAAACGAAACGAACCGAACAAAAAGGGAATAAAAAAACACGTTCAGGAGGAAACGAGTGTGTTTTGATTTCATACCTTCAGAAAATAAAGGGAGAAAAAAAAGCGCCATGTGAAAAATCACAAAATTCAAACTAAAAATAGATCCAACCACATAAAAAATTGTATCCAATCTAATAAAAATGATAAAAAAACACGTAGATAATAGCAATATATACTATTATTAGATGTTCGAGTGCATGGCGACAGTAAAAAAAATGCTGAAAGGCAATGAACCCATGAAATTTATTGGTTTTTCATGAAATTCGTTGAAATATTCTCGAAAGTAAATTGATTTTCACGTCATGTTCATCAGTTCGATGGTTCAATTTACTTGTTAGTGTGTGTGTGTGTTATATTTTGAATCGAGTGGTTCGATAAAAGAGGTATTTTCACTTGTTCCTATTTCGAGTGGAATGATTTTTACTGAAAAGTGAGTGGTTGTTGTTAGCTAATAATAATTTTGAGTGGTTTTTCTAAAGCATTCCTTGACATGCATTCGCGGCTACTATGGGCATCGAGCACGCAACACTTCCTTCCTATCGCAGCAGCATACACACACACACACACTCGTCAAAAGCCCGGAATACTTTTGCTTTATCACTATTTCACATTGTTATTTATTTCTTCGCAGTTTTTCTGTCTGCTTTATCAATCCTTTTCACATAACATTTCCACTAAATTAAATATTCGGTTCGTCGAATTTAATACTAAGCCAATGGCATGTACTGCGTTTTTTTTCTACGAAGCTCTTTGGATTTCCAACCCGAATAACAAAGAAGAGAGAAACAAAATGAAACCCTATTATTAATCATTTGATGGTTTTGCGTGCTCACAAATGAATACAAATCGGTTTTGTGCATGGAAAATGCCATAAAATGACAAAAAAGAAGACCAAAAACTAAGTTTTTATCATAATTTGTTGGTCGTTTATTTTGTCAATGGGATAGAATGAAATGGATAAGGATATAGACAAAAGGAGATTAAAATTCTTGGCAAACGATAAGCCCGACATAAAAAATGGATATATTTTACATTTATTTGCGAATTGTTTTTTTTTTGCTCCGTCTCCTCTGTTCGTTGCGAACAAGCCAATTGGCTACAAGTATCCGTATTGTCAATCGACAAGTCTAATCATCATGCACAGTGTCTTCTCGTGTTCGACTTATGCTGCACATGCTTGTTCACTTGGCAGTTGGTCGAGAGTTTGTCCGAATCGATTGGTGAATACACATAACTTCGGTACAAATGGAGAAAACAACGGAATTCATTAAAAATTCGCTGTAAAGTGTGTTCTGTGAGTCCTACAAAAGTTCTTCTCTTCTGTTCTCGGAACAAAAAAAAACAACAATGAAAGCGAACGACAAACCAGTTCAGTTTAAATTGTAATGTGACCGAAATTGGATCAACTGTGAAAACGAAAAAAAAACGCAAAAAAAATTCTGAACAAATGATGAAGGGAAATGCATGCGAATCGGTGTCCTCCTCGAACGGCAAAAGTCTTACTCTTCTCGGAAAATCGATTGCATTTCAGAAGCAACCACGAACACTGTCAAACAAGTCATCGTTCAGTTCAACGAAATGTGATACGAATGAAAATCCCATGCGAACACAACGTATCAAACAGTTGTATTTGCCCGTGTGTTTGCATGAAGTTAAACATGAAATCGCCAATCACTATCGAGACGCGAAATATAAAAAGGCCAGAAAAACCAACCGAACCAAGGCCAAACGTTCACTAGCTACGGCACTACATCGCTTACGAAAACGTAACCGATTCTCGAGACTTGCTGTAACAGCAGCAGCAACAGCATCAGCAACCATGTATCGACGAAGAATGGGACATCGACGCTTCGGTTTGTCTCAACGCGAAGTTTTACAAATTCCTTCATTTACATTTCCAAGGTATGAATTTGAATATGAGAAAGGCGATACTCTTCACACTGTAGACCAGTGGTCGACCAGCTCATAAAAAAACCCACACCACACTGTTGATATTTTGCGGTGTCTCACACGCTTGGCGCCAAATTTATTTCCACATCAATTTTATTTTTATGCCGCCGCCGTCGCCGCCGCATCGAAGCAAAATAAAGAGCGAGAGAAAACACTGGAGATCGCATCGTTTAATTTCACGAACGACAGGCAAATCTGTTACACTTTCGTCCCATTTTAACGGCCAAGACAATTATCATGAATCATATGGGATCAATTTTTTTTGTAAATTCACGCCTGTGTAATCATCGTGTGAACTGAGCAAATTGAACCATAGCAATCATGTTTTTTCTGAGCCACGTTTGACTGATGGAAAATCGACCTAGGTCTCTGTCTCTTCAACTGAAGTGTGTATGTGTTGTCTCGTTCATTTTCTCGTGTTGTTCTTCAACCAACTCAAATGAATTTTGTGTAGATATCTAGATACGTATACATATTGATTTGGGTTCGACACTGATATGCGACAGATACTGTATAATGTCGTCAACTGCCACAGCCTCACTCAATTTACACGTTGTACGGCAAATTGTTTAAATTTCTGAAATGCCCCCAGCTCGCAATGCACTCGCAACACTAGCTCAATTGAACTCACTCAATTTACACGAATGTGATTTCGCGAGGGCGTTCATGGTTCTCTCAAAAAGATAGATACTGCTATATAAAACCAGCAAAGCACCAAAGCATTTTTCTTCTCTGCCTCGTGTAATTGAATGCGTTCGGTTTATCTGTCAGTTATAAATAGGTGCTTTGGCTTCGTGATTCAATATTTGAAGAATGACGTGAAACTGAGTGTGGAATTCGTTTTGGTATTTTCATACCCTTTGACTCGTCTGTTTATTTCATACTGTGTTGTGTCTCTTCTTTCGCTTCATTCTCTCTATTTGTTAAAGTGCTTATTTTAATTCGCTGTCCAATTTTTTCTATTTTCGTTGCAGAGGAAATTCGGAAGAGCCGACGATCAATGTGCCGAAAGGACGGCACACATTGTGCAATCCTTTTCAACAACCCAACGATATCGCTAGCGTTCATGAGGATTCGACGAGCTCACTGATAAAACATTTGTTCCAGGCGGGCGGAAAAAATTCGTTTGCCAAGCATTTTGCGTCATTTGACACGACAAATCAGATAAATCAAGCAAACACCAATTTCAAATTATACGAATCGGTTGGGTATCGGCCATCCGTGGCAGCAACGTTACAACGGCACAGGGCGCAAACGTGTCGACGAAGAAGTCAAAAGCAAACGTGTACAACGAATCAGTCACACGTTGAAATTCGAACAAGTAACGCGACAACGAAAACACCAGCAGCACCTAATTGTAATTATAGGCAACGGAGGAGGAAAACCTATAGCAGCACCAATGACGGCATAAACAACAATATCAACAACATAAATAGCCAAACTGAATGGTACATTGAATTGGCTTCGAATTGCTTTAGAAATGGTTTCGAATTGCATGTAAATCACCTCGACGAGTGTTCAAAGCATCCGAGTGTACTTCAAAGGAAACCTGCACAAGCAGCATTTTTGCGACTACCGTCATCGTTGTTTCGATCGCCATCGGTGTCGTCACCAACAACACCATCGCCATTGCCATCGCCGCCACCAATTGAATTGTGTGACAGTGCAGTCAGTTTGGTAGCAGACCTTGTTGCGTGCTCATCGTCAAAATCAATTACAGTCGCTTCTTCGCATTGCGATAAATCCCATTGCTCACGTTATTCATTTAGTGATCAAATAAAGAGTCATTGTCGCCCACATCAATTAAATACGGGCGAAAATAATCGAATTTATTGCAAAGAACATTCAACATCGACCAACAATCCATCACAGCATAACAACAATCCAATTGATGGTGTGCATAAAAGATTGCCAATAATTGATACTACACCAATTGCTCGACAACCGACTGTAACGGAACAATTTAACGTATTGAATGCTAAAAATAATATGAACTCAGTTGCGGTTGACACAGCAAACAATTTACAACAAAACCTTCAGGCAATTCAATACAATTATCAGAATAACAATTTAACATTTTACCGAGAATATCAAGCGAGTAGTGGCGGTGGACAGGAGCCGCGAACAATTGCCCACAACAATAATAATTATCAGCAGCAACAGCAGCCGCATTGGGTGGACAATAGCAATCCGAATTCGATATCATTGACGGACCAACATCGCATTGATTGCTATCATAAGGGAATTGAGGTGAGGTCAACATTACCAACGGCAACAAACGAAAATCCAAGCAAAGCTGTGAACGATCTAATTGTAGCGTTCAACAGTTCGTTTGACATATCCGAAGCGAATCAACATCAACTTCCGCAAATAATTTTAAGTGATTTCTCCAGCGATCAACCAACACCGCCAACGACACCACTCTTTTCTACCGTACAAACTTCGGCTCGAACTTTATCCGAGCATCCACCACAGCTACAGGAATTTCAACTCTATCGAAGTAACACGACTATTTAATGCATGCATTCGGCTGTCATTTTTTTCTTCTGTGGGTGTGTGTGTGCTGTGCTACTAATTTAATAATTGAGCGACTTTTTGAAAGTGATTTAAAGTGAATGTGCCACGAAACGGTTATGCATGGTGTATTGGCTGACAGTGCGCGGTAAATTGCGAAAACGAACAAGTTCAAAGGCGAAACCATTTAACAGGGTTTCAAGTGAACATTCAAGGCCATTGGCACCAATCATCAAATCAATTAGTGTATTATGAATACAGTACAGTGCAAGTATTTGCGCTATTCATTCGGTTAAAATATTGCACACGAGAAGAAAAAAAAAAACAAGGAAAGAAGAAGCAAAAGAGGAAATACGCGGAAAATTGCTCGAAAATAACAAATTGTGAAATCAATGAAGCAAACCAAGCTCTCCTTCATAATCGAAACTAAATAACAAACAAATTAAATGCCCATTGGCTGATAAAACTGTGTGTTGATTTCTCATTTTAATAAGAACAACAAAATCTGTATACAATACAATCGAAGCTTCGTTCATTCCTCTGTTCGGTTCTGCGCGTTTTTTTCTCTGTTTTGTTTCGTATACATTTCAGCTCTACTATTTTGTGCATGTTGTTTTGTTTTTTATATTTTGTCAACGCCGCCGCCGCCGTCGTCGTCGTCGAAGTCGTCGTTTGACTGTATGTTGTTTTTTCGTCTACTCGTTTGTCGTACATGGACGCGCACACGACACTGACAATAAATATATTTATTTTTTTCAAAAAACAATCTATTATTTAGTATAAATTTAAGCGCCATCCATGTGAGTGCGCATTTTATTACCGCTGTTGTTATATGCCTTTCAACGTTCAACGAACAAGACCAGTTTTTTTTCTGTGTTTTATTCTATTGCGATGATTTTTCGCATGTGACAAAAGAACAAATTTCAAGAGACACAAAAAACGGGCTGATTAAACTATAGCTTGCAGTTGCTTGTGTTAATTTGTGCGAAACGATATCAATTTATTCGTGAAATTGTCTTGTGCAAACCTCAAACGAAAAGAAAAAAACTGAAGAATCGACAAATTGTATCGCGTGTTTTATGTGCTCGTCAATTAAATTCCATTAAAAAAATAATAATTTATATGTATCGCCGCTAAGTGAACACGAAAGAGAAGAACATTAAAAAAAAAGAATCCATATACATATATAAAGAGACCATTCAAATGATATGCGCACTATTGATTGGCATTGCGAATATTGACGACATCGAACTTCTGGCGGGTTTTCCCAATTTGAATTTCAAATGATTTTTTTCGGTGAATGCCTAAAGAATTTCAATCGTTTCCGCTGTTCTTTTCGCTGTGTTTTCAACAGAGAATAGAAAAAGACAAGATCAACTGTTTGTACATGAGAAAAGAATAAAAAAAAAACGCAAAAATATTTCGAAACGAGAACATAATCGGGGAGAGAAAAAAAAGCGTCAACGAAGCGTCTGCGATTCACGAGAGCTGATCATTTCGTGTTATCAATTTGTGTGAACGATAGTGTTTTTTTTATTCGTGTTACCCATCAGTTTCGAATTTGAATTGAAAGCGTCGAAAACAATAATAATAATTACATGACGTGTTATTATTCCACATTTGATTACATCATATATAAATGCGTATAAAAATTTTGTTTTGATCTCGGTACACACATCATACGAATGTTTGTCATAAGTGAAGCGCATTTCATGGAAAAACCAATCCAATTTCGTTCAAATATAAGTGAATGAAGAGCATAAATAAAAACACCCATAATAATCCATCATTATTTTAATACATTCAAGTGATACTTACACGAAATTAAAAGAAGGAAAAAAACAGAAACTCTCTATAGAAACTTGGACAATCAAATAGGCGAAAAAGCTATCGCTTCCTTTCTGAATCAACTGAAATTGAATTGTGCAAAAGGCGATAATCAACCAATCGCAAACCACAAAACGAATAAATAAAGAATTTAATTTCCTTGTAACCAAACGAAGCGACGTGATCGTTGTTCAACTATAAATTCTACTGATCAAGTTGGAAAAACAAGTTGAATTAAAGCGATAAATAGATTTCATCATAATTTTACGGCGATAAAGTACACGACATACCATTCTACAAAAAAAAACGTCACTGTTCTTCGAATAAATTAAAACTAGATTTATACACACTATCATCCACACTGTGTAAACGCAAAACGTGAAATTGAAAAGAAAAAAGCAAATAAACTTGATCATCAAAAGAAGGAAAACGGAATACGAAAATAAAAAAAATCATGGTTTCCAATATGAATATTGAGCCTCGAGCTGAAATATGTGATATTAATCGGCCAGCATTAACGAATAGCGCAATAAGCCAAACTACAATCGAATGTCATTTAAATCAACAGAACCATCACGAAATGGTTGACGCCGAAGAGCTGACGAAAAAAGTTCTCAAACTGGATCTCAGCAAACGGTCGGAGGCGGAAAAGGGCAGCTTTGATTCGGATGAAAAGGCCACAATTAATGACTGCAAATCACCAAAATCACCGCAAGCTTCAGGTAAGCACACGATTCCGGAAAGACGTTTCACTGATTTTTGTTTTTTTTTGTCGTCGTTCGATTAATCAATTATCCCATTATCCAATCCACAAGTGGTAATTATTAATGATGCCACTTCAATTATTACATTAATGCCAACTTTCAATAATAAATCGATTCAAATTGAGGATTTCATGTGATAAAATATGATAATAGCCTCTAAATGATATGGATATTTCGCCTTGTGCCCACTCACACTGCTGCCACTGTTGCTGTGTGCGTGCTTGTGTCTCTGTCGAAGATAGAATACTCGTTTGACCTGAAACAGCATTTGAATTTAATTTAAATAGTTCGCACATGATGACCGCAGCACACACACGCAGCACACAGCTTCTTAGAGAGAAATGCAAAATGAGCCATTCAAATAGTGCTAGTTGTATTTATATACGAAACGTTCATTATGGCAAACAGATGCAGTGTTTGAGTACGTATTGTACTTGGTGCATTTGCATAGAAGCTCATTAGTCAAATGAATAATTTCAATGGTATGTACCAGCATAGTAACGACTGCGTACGATTAAAAATAGACTTTGTTTGAATGAAAAGAAAATCAAGACTAAAGTTGCATAAAAGGCCAACCGCTGCTGCCGTTGTGCGTCTCATAAGCCGCATACAAACACACACACTTACGCACATGTCATGAAACGACCATATTGCGAGTCAATCCAGGAAAGTACACACAATCACGAACCCAATCAAAATAAAGCGGCAACCATTGGAATTGTAACCGAATGCCATAAATTTAAAGGCAACAAGTGAATGAGTCCATCCTTTGCTTTGTCGTTCGATTAACGATTATTTCTGTCGTTTTGACTCGGTTTCTTTCTAATGTTACTTTTTTCAGGTTTTTACCGCAATATTCTAGTTGTGTTTGTGTGTGTGTGTGTAAGTTTATGTTTCGTATTTGCTTCGTTTAACATTATTTATCTTCGTATTTATTTTTTGCGTTTTCTTTGAACTGGATCTTTATTAATGTATCGATCCAATTTGCTTAAAACTACGTCAGAGAAAAACCAAAACGAAGCAAAAGAAGAAACAAACACACACAATTCTGTCTCTACGATAGGATATTTCCAGATGGAGAGCCGAGTGTATACGCCAATCATCTAATATTAAAACCTTTCTCGGTTTTTTTTTTCGGTTAGGTGTATTGGCTGGATTACGACGAAAAGTCTGCAAAGTCCCATCTGATTTCAATTGATACTTGATAACATGACGTTAAACCATAGATAGACGTCGCAATTACTCTATTTGTATACGACGCTGACATCAAATACAAATACCCGGACGAAAATCATAATGAAACAAATGGCAATGTTTACTCGTTTCTGTTCTTTTTTATCGCACATAAAATGAGATATTACGTAACGTACGGTTTTCTATTCACAATTGTGTTGCACGAAATTCAGACGACACATTTTCAAAAGCTGCTGCACGATTATAACAATTTCAACTGCTTCAATTTTGCTTCACTTGTGACCGTGAATTTATATTACAACCGAACTGAACTGAATTTCTATGGATACATTCAAGGTTGAAATATTGCACATCGAAAAATAGATTTTAAAGGCCATGCCATGGAAATTCTGTATGGGAAATGGTGATAAACATTGAAATGGCAAAAATGATGATTTACGATTGGTTTTTATTGAGTGTTTGATTTTCGGATCGATATATAAGTGTTTGATTTGTTATTGGTTTGCAGGCGGTCGATCCGGAATTGCGACTGGAACCCGATCAACCATAAGCCATCAATCATCGATTACGTCACAAGTCGACGTCGTTGAAGATCGCAAAGCTCTAAGGTAACATTTCTTTTTTCATCGCCATTTATGCTACACATTTACACGTCCAACTTGAATCACTTGATAATTTTTGGTTTCAAAACTTCTTTTTTTTCTGCGCAATTCAGGGATGCATTATATCAGGGAATCTTTCATCGTCATCGACGTACCATATTTGCCGTTGGAAGTTTCCTGCGTATGTTGCGTACACGAAATTCACAATACAACACCATACGAAGTAATTCGGAAGGTGACGAAGACACCAGATAAATGAATCGGTCCAACGATCCACGATGGAAATTCATTATACCAAAACCACACATATACACATAACTTGTTCAATACACAACAACTCCACCCAACAAATAAACACACATACACACAAAATACCAGCAACAACAACAACAACAAAACAACAAAACCCCGTTTAGAAATTTATAATTAAAAATAAAATTAATTATCATTATTCTACTAATTACTGGTCATGTTACTAAAAGGAGTTGAAAAGCCAGAGAGAAAAAAAACACACGTATATCATACGAAGAAAAACAACAAAATATTGAAAAGAAAAGCGGTGAAAAGATAAATATTAATCCGATGATTTTTTTAGACGATAAGTTTTATTCAACTAGAAGATGTAATGGAACAGCTTGATATTTATGTCTTATGAAAGTGATTACAGAAATAAATTAAGCAGAAATAATAAATTGTATTTCGAAAAATTTTCAAATTAAAAACTTAGCGTCATCCATTATACGCTCTGACCCAGATAATGGTTTTGTTTTGTGTTGTTACACCATGTGTACCACGACGATGGTGATAATGATGATGATAATGATTCAAAGAGAATGTGCTTATTGAGCTTGGGCGATAACCTATTACAAATGTTTCGGAATGTTTGAAAAATGGTTTGGTGCAGAGAAATGTTTCACAAATGAAACCCCATTCTACCGACGATGAATCTGCGTGGAGGATGGAAACGCCGGTGCATGTATACACACTCACTATGGCGAAAAATTTAGCATTGAATGAACAATCGTTCATCATTTAACTAGGAACGATATGGAATATTAGTCCTTTCGCCCTGGACAAGATTGTGGAACCACTTGCAAAGGGGCGAAAAATGCAGTAGAATTAATCGATTTCCAAGAAATATGAAGAGAGTATGTGTATGGTTTGTGATTAGCTCGCTTGTTGAGTTTTGCTTTGATTCCCATTGGTTGGATAAAATTCCGCAGCGCTCTTGAAAGTTTCATTCAAAGTGAATTAAGATGAAAAAAGACAAGTGGTCCGGACATTTCCACATCATAATATCAAAGTAATGTAGAACATTCAAATTGAAATGCAATTTTCCGACATATTCAAATGCATAGAATTCCATCAAATTAAGAAATAAATTGCATTTTTGATTGGAGCTGTTTGGGTGGGAAATAGCTTACTAAAATCGTTTCCATAAAGATTTAGTCGAAAATCACGTTGAATTTCCTGACCAATTTATTTCAACATCGCTCTTGCTTTGACAGAGAGAGAGAGAGAGAGAGAGAGAGAGAGAGAGAGAGAGAGAGAGAGCGAGAGAGAGAGTAGCTCTGCTTGGCATATAAAATATGTATTCGCAAAGAATTCCGAAAATGAGCGGAACAATCTACCGTAATGCATGCACCTGCACTTACATAAATCTATAGCCAAAACAATGTATCGCGCACTGACGAAACAAAACAGAAAAAATTAAAAACATGTTCCCGATGTCACTTGCTTGCTATAAGGTAAATTCCACCGGAAGTAGATTCATGTTTGAAAAAAAGAAAAGAAAAACTGGTACGGATAGTTTTGTTAGGGCTGGATCCCATGTGATAGATACAAATTTTTAGAGAATGACTAGCAAACCGCCGTGGTGAACATGAAAATTAAACCAAAAGAGAGAAAAATGTAGAAAGATAATCTCAGTGATTTGATCAGGCTTCAACACTCACACACGGAAATTAATTACAATCAAATTGAACCTTTTTGGATAGATATATTTTATTCACGTTTTTATATTTCAAAAAAAAAAATACAAATAAAAACTATGTAAGTGTAAAACAATCCCACAAATTTTTAAAACAAAATAATTACTGAATTTTTCGTGCTTTTACCAACAACAACAAAAAACCATCAACAACAATCGTAGAATCGAGAGCGATTTGATGAGTACATTTCGCTTTTCCCATCATTTCTGTAATAATAGAAACATAAACCGATAGAGATAAACCAAATAACAACAATCAATATTTCTTTTTCAACCAATTTAGAGAAAAATTATAGCCCGGATCGAGGAAAAAAAGAAAAACCTGTTGGGAAGTTGATATCCCAGCGCGCGCTTGGCTAGCCCTTAAACTTTTTTTTATGGCCATTTGAATAGTGAAACATACCAAATGCTTGCATTTAGCCGGACATTCAGTTTGCCCATAAAACATATATACAGATCCGGCTATAAACGTACGGTTATTGCGTTATTAATGAATTGATTTACGTTGTTATGTTTAATACATAATGAAAGAAACACGACCAACCATCTCATTCGTATGAAAAACCAAAATTGTACCATGTTAAGAGAGAGGGAGCGTAGAGATAAAGAGAGAAATATTTATTGGTATGATATGGTAGTTGACACACACACACTCACACACACACACACACACACACACACACAGAATATATAAGGAAACTGAGAGCTTAGCAAAATGTTACGTTTAATCATAAACATAAAAAACGATTAGACTGTTTCACCTGACAAAAAACCAAATAATATAAAATACATGATTACACAGAGATGCACTCACTCACTCACAAACACAGTCATACAAACACACAAAATCAAAATGTATGTCATATAAACAGCTATAAATGGATACAATGGCACTGCAGACCCCTAAACACAAACAAAAACAAAAACAATTCTAAACGTTAAATATTACGCGTACGAGGTAAAGGCAGATACATGTTAGCAAATGAACAGGATAATTTTAGTATATTATCATTTTGTTTTTGGAGAACCAAATAATTAAAAAAACAAAACAAATTTAACAAATTTAACCTATTTAACAGAATCGCATTAAGATATTGATTGCAATAAACGTTATTACCTATCAAATATTATGGAAAAAAAAGATTTTGCGGCATTTTTCTTCCTTATTTTATTTGTTGGTCGTTGCGTGCAATACCCTTGAATAGATCCAAATTGGTCAAATTTAATATGGAAACGGTTTGTTCGAATTAAATAAGAAAAAGGTTTGATTGCTCACTAAAAGTGTGTAATAATGTACAAGGTAAGCATCATATTGGTTCAAATAGAGCCGTACGATCTTTTTCTCCTTTTTTTCTTCGTCTTCGAGGTTGAGAGGAAATAATTCTTTTTCGTTCAATTGATTCTTCACGACACATTTTCAAACGAGCCGCGACCGGCGAAAACGCATTAGACTTTACTTTCACAGCTCACGACTAGATGGCGCGTGTGTACAACAAATGACTTGGCACACTGACACATGTCACACTCCCAAATTTCTAATGCAATTACAAAACAAAACAATATCGAGATAAAAAAAGAAATTGCTGCTGTGTATTTAGTGCTTTTTGTATGAAACCAGGTAAGTAAAATCAATGTTATCCATAGATTCCACAAGAATAGCATGAATAATCAGTGCCATTTTGTTTGCTTCAGATCAAAATGAGTGAGGAATCATCAAAAAACGTCTACGATATGGATGGGTCGAATTTTGATTCGGACGTGTATGTAAACAAGATACTCAAAGATTATTCGCTAAAAGATGTGATGAATGTGGAAACAGCCATCATACGTGACACACAATCACTCCATAGTGATATGCAAACATTGGTCTACGAAAATTACAATAAATTCATTTCGGCCACGGATACAATGCGCAAAATGAAGACGGAATTCAAGCAGATGGAAACCGAAATGAATTTGCTCGTGTCGAATGTGAAATCAATCACTGAATTCAGCGATCAGATATCATCGAAACTGCATGATAGTCGCCAACAATTGAGTGCATTATCCGAGAAACAACTGTTGCTGCAAAAATTACAGTTCTTATCATCGCTGCCGACCAAATTGAAAACGTTGATCGATGACGGTAACTATGGACAGGCGGTGAAGCATTACGGCGAGGCACATGCCGTTCTCGAACAGTACGGTTATCAGCCATCGTTTCAAGGCATTCGTGACGATTGCCAATTGATAATGAATGATTTGAAGTCGAAATTGAAATTGAACATTCAACTGTCGGGATTCACGGCAAAGGCAATGATCGAAACGGGAGATTTACTGTTGCAACTGGGTGAAAAACCATCGGATTTATCACGCGAAATACTTCAATTTGCAACACAACGGCTTCATGAGCAAATCGTGATACTACAAGACCAGACCGATGGCAATATGATTGAATTCGTTGACATGAGCATCAAAGGATTTATCAACGAACTGATTTTGATTGTGAGCTCGTACACCGAAATGTTTTTGAGTTCACCGTCCAATGCCAACTATAGCATTCAATATGACGAGCTGAATGCATTCGTTACGAAAAACTTGGAGAAATTCTCTGCGCTGGTGCAAGTGCGTGTCGAAGTGGAAACGGGCCATGGTGACTACAATATTCTACTGAGTGCACTTGATCGTTTGCACGAAAAACTATTGGGAATGAAGCATTTGACCTGTGACATTGATATGTCCACCATGATCGTTGAGATTATTGTGAATGCGGCAAATCAACTGTGTAATTTCCATTTGAAGAAACTCAAAGAATCATTTTCCGATAGCTTAAGCTCGATTCGATTGAGTCTGGTAACGGGGAGCAAGAGCGATAGCACACATGCAACCTCATCGGATTTGATGGATTTGGTGAATCGACTGTACGTAACGACAAATGAAAAAATCAAAGTGGTCATTCATGATTTGCTCATATTCATCAAGCCGGAATGGAAATTTAAAATTAAATCGCATCCAAAAGGCGTACAATGCGTCGAAGGTATTCGAGAGAATTTGGTCATTGGATTTTTGAATCACATCGCTGCCACAATGATCTCCTACGGTGATATTAGTCTGGCGTGTCCACCAAATTTGCTGTTGGTATTCTCCAAAATGTGCCTCGAAATGGAACAAATTGGTGTGAAGAAGATAATTATGCTGGTGGATGAATTGTACGGCATCGATCCGATTGGCAATCCAGCATTGACCCATGAAAATGATATGTACGCCAATATGAGAAAATCGGCACAAAATCTACTCGATTCATACGTTCGTCTGCAAGGATTGAATATCTCGCAAATGCTACGGAAAAGTGTGGAAACTCGTGACTGGCTCAATTGTCTTGAGCCACGGTCAGTGCGAGCCGTTATGAAACGTGTCGTCGAAGAATTGTCACTGATCGATGCGGTTTTGTCAGATTTGTACGAATCGGGTGCTCAAACGGCCGCCAGCAGTGATTCAAGCCGCAAAACACACTTCAGCATTTCCACATCGAAGCAGCCGCAATACCGATCCAATTGGTCGAATTGTACATCCGAACCGATGCTCATTACGAATATGCATCGACTTTTCTCCGACAAAATTGACATTTTCGGTTCGGTGCAATTTACCAAAATTTCAATTTTAACTGGAATCATTAAGCTTAGCCTAAAGACACTGTTGGAATGTGTTCGACTTCGTACATTCAGCAAATATGGATTGCAACAAATTCAAGTTGACACACACTACTTGCAAATGAACCTCTGGCGATTTGTAGCCGACGAAAATATTATGCATTATTTACTAGACGAAATATTGGGATCAGCTGTCCATCGGTGCGTCGATCCCACTCTGATGGAGCCGACAGCCGTCGGTTTGATTTGTGATCAAAATCATTAAATATTACATTCCATTGTTTGACACTTTTCTGATTAAATATTAAATGATGCATATGATCTTTTAAATTGTGGTTTAATTTATTAAAGTTGATGGAAAAAGTAAAGACGGAACAAATGGTATCTTTCATTAGGAAACAATTTGGAAAATATTTTAGATTAACTGACGTTCGTTTGATTAACATTGATCAATGTTACGCATGGTGTTTAGTCCAACCACGTATTTGTTGACCAAAATTAGTTTATTTCCCTATCAGCATAAGGAAATCAGTAGTTTCAATAGCCATTAGTTCTGTTACTGACCGCTTGATGTGCGTGCTTGTACGCGTTGCGTATCCATCATCGTCATTTTGTCTGTATCTGGACTATGCATTTATACGATTTTGGCACACACACACACACACACAATGACAAAAGAACTGTTCTAGTGACCATTTCGCATTTCTAATTTGCTCTGATTCGAGAGGCAATACAAGCGGACGAGAGGCGGGCGAGCGATCATTTTTGTGCATTTCCAGTTCAGTTTTATGCAGTGACTTGAGCGGAAAACACAGATGAAATGTCAGGCAAATTTTCGTCTCTCGCAAAGCGAGGCATTCGTTTTTGTGCAACGGATGAATAAAAAAAACGTTGACCAAACGAAATTGGCTCACGCGAGAATTTTGTGCCAGTTTTCGTGGTAAAACCTGAGGCCGAAGGAGTAGAACAGCCAACAATTGAGGAAGTTTTAGTGGATTTAACAGGAACGCAACAAGGAAATCGACCAAGTGTATTCATTGGCCAGCCACCGTTTTACACCAATTATATGGCTATTTTAGAACACCTGTTCTACGACGTAGGAAAAAAAAGTGTCAAGTGGATTTTGCGCTAAAAGATAACCGTCATTCGAATCCATGTCGAAGGAACAACAATTTGGTGAATGGGAGTGCCTCGGGGAGCAGTGGCGTAACTACAACTTTTGTTCGTAGGGGGTCTTTTTTATTGCTCCAATCGATAGATTTCCCCGAAAAATGAGATATTTTGAAATAATTTCGGGGGGGGGGGGGGTTGATTTTCTCACTAGTTATACGACTTTTTTGGCTTTTTGGCCAAAAAATGCCAAAAATGGCCAGAAATATTTTTTGTCCGATTTGGATGAAAGAACATCTAAACTGAGTCCACTGCGAACAACGTCTCTTTTATGCTAACAGCAATTCGTACACGAACGAGTCAGTGTGACAGTTGGCGTGAGCGAGACAAAGTTTGACAGCAAACAATTTGGTTATGTCGGTTTAAATGTTCTTTGGTACACAGAAAGCTTATGAAAATATAAGAATTATGGCATAAAAACTGGTCGAAAAAACTGGTATAAAACTGAAAGTACGAGTTAACCGTAGCACGAGCAATCTGTGCCATTTTTCATAGGGCGCCTCCACTCACATTAAATTTGTATTATGAATGTTAAGGTGCGTTCAGCGCCCTTCAATGTAAAACCAATTCAAGTGGAGGATGGCACGCGGGGTTTACTTGTACTTTAAATTTTTTTATACCAGTTTATACCAGTTTTTCGAACAGTTTTTATGCCATAATTCTTATATTTTCGTAAGCTTTCTGTGTACCAAATTTCATCCAAATCGGACAAAAATTATTTTTGGCCATTTTAGGCATTTTTTGGCGTATAATTAGTGAGAAAGGGGGGCCCCCCCGGGGGAGGGGGGGGGGAGAGAGCTCATTTTTCGGGGAAATCTATCGATTGGAGCAATAAAAAAGACCCCCTACGAACAAAAGTTGTAGTTACGCCACTGTCGGGGAGTATTTTCGTGAAGAGGATAGTTCGCCAGATCTGAATAACAATCCCCTCGAAAATGATGATGATGGCGATTATCCGATTGATTCTGAAGATCAATTTTTCATATCCCCCCGACTGGCTGCCCGTGCCAACTCAAATGCAAATTAAAATCGTCCAACCCGTGTTCAATATACAGTGTCCATACAGCGCGCCCGACGACAGCTCGAAAATCAAGATGAAATTGTACGCGATACAATCCAACCAGAACGGGCTGGCGTATTGGAAAGTGTGCAACAGCAACAACAACCGATGGAGATTCGAGATGAGCTGACCACTGATGCGATTCGAATAAACGGTAAAATACAGTTTACCGTGAGTGAAAAGTACGAGATTTCGCATAAATCATTGGAAGAATTGAACAAAGTGGCAATTGTTCTCATTGATTCGTTCAAGCAACGTTCGAAAGTGAATCTCTTTAAACGAACAGAAGCTTGTGCAGGAATTCAAGACTTGTTGTTTTAATTGGTGAAAAGGGAATTGGCAACGGCCAAGCGCGGCAGCAGCAACAAGTAAAGTAAGTGGTTTGAAATTGTGTTTTTTTCATGTATGTGAAATGGAACGAACCAGACATTCACTGTGGCTGCATATATAGCTGAGCTATTCACAAATAGCTGGCTGTTTGGTAAGTTTTGATTTTGTGACTATCTTGCCATGCAAATTCATGTGATATCCAAGAATGTGGGACACGTTTTCAATCATTTACATACATTTTTTGTCCCAAATTCGTGGATGCCACATGAATTTGCATGGCAAGATAGTCACAAAATCAAAACTTACCAAACAGCCAGCTATTTGTAAATAGCTCAGCTATATATGCAGCCACAGTGAATGTCTGGAACGAACAACTTTGAATGGACAAACAATGTTTGCATTGACAAAAAAAACCCTATTTTTGTGGACACGCGACAAGGCAGCGATCAGTGCCGTAAGATTTCCGCAGAGCTATTTTTACAGTAAAGTGAGGGGCCAGAAGTGGTTGACGCGAATCTATGGAACATGCCACATCAACGTGGAGAGTGGTTTGGATTGCTGAAATGTCACTTTGATTGGCAAAACGAACGGTTTTTCAGCGGAGAGGATTTGGAAATATTGGATTTGACTGAATCGAAAAGCGACAACTGGGAGTTCATTCATTGCAATAAAAAAGTATGATGTTTATGAATTTCCTTGTCACATCGACCAGATCAATTTTGTGGACAACTTTCGGGACCGTGTAAAATTCATGATTTGGCGTGATTTGGTCAGCCGGAAATTGAACGCACGCTACAAGATGATTTCGATTGGTGAACCGACGGCATTTTCTGGTCGTATAGTTGGTCGAGCATATTTAGTTGGCAAAATAGTACACCTTCGGCCACGTGTTGTTATTTCATCTTCGAATGACCCGAATATGATTGTGTCGTACGATGTTATGGTGACCTCAGCTGGTACTGTGTACATGGAATTCAGTAACCATAGCACGACAAAGGTTAAGTTCAACTGTGTCAACCGTATCACACATCCCAATGCTGTAAATGGTTATGGTTTTCTGCTGCAATTATTGAAAAATCATAATCAAATGATGGACGGCTTTGCTGTGAAACCAACTGGAATACATTACAATAGCTCGTGTATTCGCCGAAGTACGTGTCAACTTGCAAATCGAGATCTCAATCGATATTGGCCAAAGCCGCCGTCTAATGGGGCCCAGTTTTTGGATTGCGTTTCAAAAGAATTTGAAACTCGCCACGGCGTATCGATTAGTGTTGACGACGACGATGCTTGGAAAGCGATTTTGATGTAACCGATCGAGTACATCAAGAAATGTAAAAAAAAAATTGATGAATTGAAGCAAGCCGGAAAAGACTTACAAAACGGACGATCATCGTCGTTACCGTATTTAGAAAATATCGATTTCGTTAAGAATCAATTTGTGAGTTCGGTCTGTTCAGTGGCAACGTGTGATGTATGCAATCAAAAGACTATTAACAGTTTTGATTTCATCGAACATTCAATAAAAGTTCCACTGGACGGTGCAAGTGTAATTGATGTAGATTCCGATATTAATCAAGAAACATTAATCGAAAATTCAATTTTCAATTGTGACTCCAAAGTAGTTTCTCTAGAGTGTGGTTTGTTGAACCAGATTTTACTAGTGGTTGTTGTCGGGAAATCAACATTCTGTGATTGGTAAGTTTGATTGATTCGAAAAATTGGTGCATTTTCCATTAAAATTTAATGAAATTCTTTAATTTGAAGGTGAAAGAAGACGTTTTTTTCATTTCAAATGACCCAACTCTCAAACAATTTAAATGCAATTTAATGTGCTAACCAGTGTCGCGTTAACTATAGAGACGATTGAGGCAATTGCCTCAGGGCACCACGCATTTGGGGGCACCACAAAGAGAGAAAATGAAAAAAATTGTTGATGTTTTGGTGCCCTAAGAAAAATAATCATGCTCTGAAAAGCTGTTTATGGTGCCCCATAAAGTGCTGTTTTTGACAAAAAAATCTCGCTCGCTACCGCTCGCATTAAAAATAAATAAATACAGGAAATTTGCGCACAGCAATAATACTGCTGTGCTTTTGCTGCATGTTGCATATAAAATTAAAATCTAGACTTAATTAACTTATATTCAATTGAATCTAGATAACCACTTTATTTTTCTTCGGTTCTTCAACACGTAGCTGCGCAACTAGCGATTTAATACAGCTGGCGCCATCTTAAATTTCTGTGTACAGTGTACCGAACTACACAGAATGTGTATGATTTGTTGTTGTGAAGAATAAAAACAGGGCAAAGTAAACGTCAAACGTGACCACAGAGTGTACCTGTTGCGCAGCTACGCTTCAACAAAACAAATTCTTCTATTATTTCATCCATATCTAAAGAATCCAAAACTTCGTTTTCAATCGACATCAAGGCAAATGCATTCAGTTCCTTATCCGTCCGCAATGTATCTTTTATGTATTTTACCTTCGAAAAAGAACGTTCATCTGGCACGTTTTTAATGAACAACGATGTAAAAATTCGCAGCATAACATCAATATTCGGGGAAACGGCTTGAAGTTGTTCTTCATTGATTTTCGAATGGATTGAAGCGTGCAAAACAAGAGTACCGGAACTTTCGAAGAAATATTGTTTGACGATTTCGCATTCAGAAATCAATTCGTTTGCATCAAGATCATTTTCATAGAAGGATGCAATTTTATTACAAGCCTTTTGAGATTTGATCGATGTTCAATTTGTTTAATTTAGTTA